TGGCCCTAGTCCATAAGGGCCAGGGCCGGGCCTGGACCTAGGCCCTTCACGGGCCGGCCCCGGCTCTTGTATTTTTTTTTTAAATTTAATTAAAAAAATATATATCATATGCCCCAAAAGATGTGATTTTATTGAATTGATGTAATAGGAGTACACATAAATGACTGCCTCGTTAAAAACCTTGCTAAGTAAAACCCGTGGGAGATCGGGACAAAACCTTAGCGAAGGAAAAAAGAGTGCAGTAGCTAGGAATAGTAAATTTCAAACCTAAGTGCTTCAAGAAGATTCTGTTATTTCTAAGTTAGAAAAATATTCTTGCATCGAATCATCTGAGTATTGTTGTTTTCGTCTTCTGGCATCTTCCCAGTCTTTAACGCACATTAGTCCCTCCAAGATATCTAGATGCATTCTGCTTCTTTTTTTGTCAAGAATTTAGTTGCTTGCGCTAAAAGCTTGCTCCGCTGCTGCCGTTGACACTGGAGTTGTCAAAATGTCACGAGCTATTATGGACAGTGTTGGAAAACGATCGGTCTTGCTCTTCCACCACTGTTAGATGTCTAGTTTGTCGTCATCGATTACAAAATTTGCATCAAAATATTTGACTAGTTTTGTAGACGCTTATGTTGAGGACGATCCTACCGTTTTCTCTTTCTTCTTCAAGAAACTCCATGACGATCTTTTAGTCCCCGAACTGGTAGTTGACGACGAAGTTCCATGTTCTTTTTTACCTGTGCTATATTTTGCTTCATACAAACTAAAAACCTTTTCTAACATCTTCTTAGCGTCACTAATAGTTAGTTGCATATCTATTCCTAAATTCTCTGCGGTAGCAGTCATCAATGATTCAGTTTCATTTACTCCGCACCTAGGATCTAACTGGTTGCCAATGCATATAACATAGGACAACCTGACCAATAATTTTTAAATTTATTTTCCATTAACTTAACTATGTTTCTAAAAAGTTATGTATCCCTATAATATGAAAATATTTCTGAAATATTAAATAGTTGATTAAAGCAAAATGAGCAGTAGGATAATAAACTCCAGAAAGTAATTCAGTAGCATTGTAAAAAACTTCTAGAAATTTAAAGAAATACTCACCAATCTGCCAATCTGTATCGAAAATCAAAAGTTAATCATTCTTACTGTTTACGAACGTCGTGATAAGCTCTGAATAAGGGAGTGCTGCCTTTAACATTAAATAGGTGGAATTCCACCTATGTCTCACGTTAGTTGAAAACTTTCTTGGGCGCTTCTGACTGTTCCTGCAATATAGTTTAAATTCTTGGAGCCAAGCTCCAGAACTAGATATGAACGAAAATGATTCTCTAACATTTGTTAGATTAGATGATATATATTCAATTCCTGCCTAAACTACTAAATTAATTATGTGACATGCACACCGTTGATGAAAATTCCCCCCTCCCCCCAAACGCTGGTTTCAAACTACGTTTAAACATGTTAATTACAACAGTGTTAGGTGACGCATTATCAAAAGTAATTTTTAAAACTTTATCTTTTATCCCATAAAACTCAAAAATTTCCATTATTGTAGTAAAAATAGATGTTGTGTTATGAGAATATGGACATAAATGAAAACCAATTATTCTTTTTTGTAAAATCCAATCGTCATCAATGTAGTGCGCTGTGACACATAAATATCCAGTTTTATTGCACCCCTCCCACAAATCAGAAGTGCAAGAGACAGTAGCATTAAAAGTCCTAAAATTATCAACAAGAGATTGTATCATTGCATAAAAAATTTTCATGCAATCAGAATGAGTTATGTTTCTATTTACCCGTTTAAATTATGGGTAAAAGGCTGTCTGGATGAATTCTTCAAACGAGCCATCATCTGCAAAAGAAAGAGGCAATTCGGCACTAGCTAGAAATTTAGCTAGTGCCTCACGAGCACGTTGTGCATCGTATGTAAAATTTTGTAACCCCTGTGATGTGAGTGATAGTGTTTTTAGCGGTGTTGGGAATGGTGTCCTAGAAGCATGAGATGTAATAGAATATTTATTATTTATTTAATAAAAGAGTTTATTCATTATTTTATGTCCATATATTTATGAATATTTTATGAATATCAATGAAAATTCCATGATTATTTATGTAACCTTAAAAATTGTATATAAGTGTTATATACGAGAGGATAATGTTTAAGGATAATAATCAAAAAGCAATGTTCATAATGAATTTAATTAAAGTTCAGAATCTTTAATTAAAACATTATTAATACATGTCATTC